CTAATCAGTGAAAAAACAAAAATATGTTTGTCCTAGCTTTGTATATAACGTCGGAAGAAACCAAAAGCAAACAGAAATGTTTGATGGTAGAGAAATATGTGATGTAGGTGTTGTATCACTATACAATCCGACTATGATTTCGAAAAGCTTCTTCCCTGTGATTCTAAATCCGACTGCATGCACTTATATTTTTTCACTTCAATTTCGATACCCAAAAACTTCAAAATTTTGTTAGTAGTAGGTAGTGATTTGTTACATATTTAATGCTTTCTTTACTTAGAAGTCGACGAGGACTAATCTCGCCAATGACAAACTCTGGGTTTTACCGACTCTCTTCAACAGCCTGAGTAACTTAAGTGTGATTTGTTTTATGGCATGAAATCTACGAGGGTATGTTAGGTCTAAGAGAGTGCCGGTTTATACATAAACAGGCTTATGAAATATTCTACTATCATAGTTGTTCTGTTTCTTAAAATGAGATATACAACTTTTGAGCAACGGCAAGAGTTATTTTCTGTTGATTAATATAAAAATACAAGACTATTCACATATTCAAAGCAAATATTCATCAGAGATCTTCACAACTTAACTTCGAGCTCTCTCGCGAAAAATTTCTCAATCAGTTCGGCTCGAACTCACTTTCAATTTCTTGAGCGATCTCTTCTTAAAAGTTACGAAACTAGAGCACCTGAAAAAGACAACTTGCGCTATTAAAGATAACAGCTCATCTGAATCCCTATTTTCTCATTATTGATTCCGTTAGAATCTATTTAAAAACTCAAAATACTATATCTGTGCATGGCAATGCACTTCAATGCATATTTCTCATGACTGATTTAACAAACTACTACCTATATAAAATAATAAAACAAGCTGCATACAACTATACCTTCATTCATAACGTCGTCCAATCGATGAAACACAACTAATTCCATTTCTCCAGCTTCATCAGGAAGAATAAGAGAAACTTTGTTAATCGATAGGCTCATATTGATGATAGGAGTATTGCTTGATTGTGCTTCGAACAGTTGCTCAAACATATATTCAAATCTCTGAGCTATTTTTGAAATAGTTGATTTTTCAAACAAATCATGTGAACTAACAAAATTACATGATAATCTCTCATTATCTGATAACGGATTGTATAGAAATGTTAATGAAAAGTCAAATTTAGACACTTCAGCTGATTGTTCTAATGATACTTGTTCCAAATTTGCATCATTCAAACATAAATGTTCCACATCTTTCGACACGCTGATAAAATCAAACATTGTCTCAAGAAATGAAACATTGGATTGAGTGAGATGTAAATCACTAAGAATATGTTGTAATGGATAATGAGAATGTTCAAGAACTGATAAACATTTTTCTTGTACATGTTTAACTACTTCATCAAATGACCAATGAGAATCGACTTCTAAACGATATGGTAATGTTGAAACAAACATTCCAATTAGATCTTGTAATTCACTTCGATATCGATTAGCATTAATAGAACCAATACATAGATCAGTCTCACCATGAGTTAATTTGAATAGGAAGACATAAAATATGGATAATCCAAGTTGAAAGAGTGTGAGATGATGTGATGATGCATAATTGAGAAATGATGTGCATAATTCGTTATCGAAATTAATTTTAGCTATGGATGCTAACCCTGATCGTTGTTGATTAGTTGATGAACGTTGTTGATCAACTGGTAATGATAATGAACATTCGATATTGTATCTTTCAAGTTGAGAATGCCAAAATTCACGAGATAATGACATATCCATGACATGTTCATGAACAGAATAATCGATATATTCCAATGACTTATCATCCACAGATAACGAGTTATCAGATTGGTAAGCATGAGAAAGATCACGAAGAAAGATTGATGTTGATGCTCCATCAAACATTGCATGATGAATACTAATTAATATGTGATCATTTTCAGTCAGCACATCATCATTCTCGTATGAGATACTATCTTGAGATTGATGATAATGACGAAGAATATGACAACGAATAACACGTCCTTTCGATAAATCAAATAAATCAGCTTGATTCAATATTTCATCAATAGTTTCATTCATATGACGACGCTCATCATTATAAAGATTAATGATTGTCAACCCATATGATTTCGTATCATTGTTGAGAATGATATTTGGGTCTAAACAATGTTGTATGATATGACCATTTGTATCAAGAGAGAGTGCTGTTCGAAGAATATTATGTTTTGTGATAACAGTTTGAAATGCATGATGGAATCGAGTAATTGATACATGTTCAATCATCGATGATATTCGATAAAGTAATGGAATAACATACATATTCTTCATGGTTGTTTTGTTGGATGAAAAACGAATTTGTTCATCTAAATAGATTCGTTCTTGTGCAAATGATGCTCTAGCTAGAACAATATGTAATGAAGACCAAGGATAATTGTCGAGAGTGTGGATGGTATTGATAGATTGTTGAATGAGTTGAGCATGATGAATAATTGTTGGATGTTGAAAAAGATTTGAAATAGAAAGAGTATTTGTTTCTAAATGAAACTCGATCTTGTACCAATGAAATAGTTGCATGATAAGTAATGAATGACCACCAATAGTAAATATATTTGTATCAGTTGAGATTTGCTTTTGTTTGAATATCTCACACCAAATACGATGAATACTAACTTCAATATCATTTGTTGGTAGTAATAGTTCTATACTGTTTCTGAGATCTGTAGATGAGAAATGAGGTGGTGGTAGAAGTTTTCGATCTACTTTTCCATTTGGATTTAAAGGTAGTTTATCTAGTATAATAAAGAAAGATGGAATCATGTGTGGTGGAAGATGAGATTGACAATATTGACGTAGTTGTTCCCCATTCATATGAGAAGAAGATTGAACATAGGCAACTAAATAATCATCATTCCACTTCATGACAACACAAGCAGATATAGATGTGATGTTAAGTAAATATCGTTCGATTTCACCAAGTTCAATACGCTGTCCATGAAGCTTGATTTGATGATCTTTTCTTCCTTGATAATGAAGAAGACCATTGCTATCCATTCTAACAAGATCACCTGTTCGATAAAATAATTCACCATCTATCTCCATAAGAGCTTTTGCTGTCAAATCATCACGACCAAGATAACCAGCAAAGATACCGACTCCTCCTATAAATAATTCTTCTTCTTCTCCGATTGGTGCAGGCTGCAAAAGAATATCTAGAACCTTGTATTGTTCGTTTGCCAGAACTGTACCAAGAGGAATGTTGTTCTCAACAGAGATGGTGTCGACATGATGACATATTGACACGATGGTACATTCAGCAGGCGCATATATATTATACATGTAATACTTACTTTTAATATGACTTCTGAGGCGGTGAACGAGTTTTAGTGAAAATGGCTCACCTAGAAGATTAAGAGAAAGTTCTATTATCACTTTTATTTTGCTTTACTAACCACCAATGCAAAGTGATCGCACAGATGACAAAGAATAGCGATTGGAATGTGCAAGAAAATCACATAAATGATTTAAGAAAGTTGGAACGGGTGCAAGACATGTGATCTGTTTATGTTGCAGTGTGTGAACAAAATATTCAAAATCCATATTACCGTAAGGATGTAACATCACAACAGTCGCGCACAATAGTAAACTACCTATGATTTCCATGACATGTACATCGTATGTCGGGGCACATATTTGTGACACAACGTCTCGCTCTTTTAATACACCAGCATTCTGTATAGAATGCACAAAATTTGTGAAGTTTCGATGCCGTGTTTGAGCCTATAACATAGCGAAAAACTGACAAAGATACTTTGAAAAATGCAGAAAACCTACTGCTTTTGGTGTTCCAGTAGAACCACTTGTAAAAATAATGTACGCGACATCGTCTGATACTGTTGC